GAGTGTTTCTCCGTGGGGTGCTTATGTGTTATTGGTTAAGAAGAAGGATTGTAGTATGAGGTTATGTATAGACTACGGGAAGTTGAATAAGGTGATTATCAAGAATAAGTACCCACTTCCGAGGATTGACGATTTGATGGATCAATTGGTAGGTGCTCGTGTGTTTAGCAAGATTGACTTGAGATCGGGTTATCATCATATTTGTGTTAAACTAGATGATATTCCGAAGAAAACTTTCAAAACAAGGTACGGTCACTATAAGTACACTATAATTTTGTTTGACGTATCTAATGCACCAAGTGTTTTCATGGATTATATGAGTACACTATGATGAACTTGAGAATCTAACTACGTCTGAATCAAAGACCATTACTCTTCGTCTCATCCTAATAAAGATGAAATACAACAGAAACCACAAGTTTCATCGTAAACAACATCAATAATGTCATCGATGTATGAATGAAAGAAAGCAGAAAACTATGATAAGTAAAGATCTCTTGAAGATTTGGTAGATAGTTGGCTACCAATCGGCATACTTGATGGTTGACTTCCAGTTGGTTTTGTGCATGATCTCTTTGTAGTTTGACTCTCCTGCAAAGCCTCGGCATACTCCCACTGGCTAGGATCACAATGCACATCACTCTCTTGACCCTTTCAACTTTTCTTAACTCCCCTCTTTGACTTATACTTCATCAGCGGTGGACACATTAAAGTTGTGGATGAATATGTTAGATCACAAACTTTTTTCTTCAACACCTATGACCAACAATATTCAAAGTACCAAAATATCTCTTCAACTCTTCATACTCTTCTTCTAAATCCCACTTTGTACTACTCTCATCATGACTGACCTCATGTTCTGCAATATGCAATTTCATCCAGAATACATGAATTGAATCTAAAAGAACAAGGTTGCCTAGAATTTAGAAACGTGCAAGTTAACATGCACACGATAATTCATGTGTTGTTCTAATGAAGCAACCACGTCTCTATTGGCTTGAACCAACAAATTTTGAAATTTTTGGTAAATTACCTCTAAAATTTTGAAATTTTCAGTAAATCGCCACCAAAAATTTTGGCAAATATAAGCAATTTCTGATAAAATGCATAATTTTAATACCGAAACTTTCATTATGCATACCGAAAATTTTGATTTTCATCGCTTCACTAATAGTAATTTTTTTGTGTGACAAATATAATTTTTTAAAGATAAATAGTAACAGAAGTATTTTTGGTATGTAAAAATTAGAGGGTAACAAGTATAATATAGGAGGCGGTAATTAAAATCCTCTAAAATTTGAGTTATGGAAAATCTTTGTTTTTGAATCCTAATTGTTTTTTTTCTTTTTGTTTGAAGGAAGATGATCAATTATTTGTAAATAACCTTTCTTTAATATATATTTTACACTTTTGAGATGTAGGTCTAAACCTCCGACTTTTTTTAACTCTTAACTCAACTATTTCAAATCAATGAACTTCTCTTTCACCCAAAAAGAATAATATTTCAAAAAAAATATATCAAAATAATATGCCATTAAAATTACTTCAGCTCGAATCCTAAATCCTAAACACTCCATTAATTTATTTCTTTTCAAGGAAAATTTAATATACCACCCCCAAAATTAAACATGATACTTTTTCAATTTTTTTATTCCACTTATATGTTTGAATGAGTTAAATATAATTTTCAAATGAAATTTTTGGTACCACTCAAATTTTCGATACACTTCTACGAAATTTTTGATATCATAAATTTTCGATAGTATATTTAATATTTCTAGTATATCGAAAATTTCAAATTAATTGAAATTTTTGATAGTAATAAAATATGGTAGAAAAAAATTGAACTATCAGAAATTTCAAAATTTCTGATATTCTGTGACAAATTAGAAATTTTAATATTTCCGGTATAAATGATAAACGAAAATATTAGATATTTTGAAATTTCAGATATAGAAATATCAGATATTTTGAAATTTTCGGTACAAAATACCAAAAATTTCACAAATATACCATAAATACTCACTTGTTCGCGAAATTTATAGTATCGCCTAAGAAATTTTCAATATCGGCCACAAAATTAAAAAATCCGGTTGAAAATATGAATTTAAAATTTAGAATAAATGATTTAAATCTGAACAATTTAATCTTTTCACAATATTTAAAAGATACCATATATAATATAAAGGATGACAAGTTAATTTCTCTTTTTCAAAATATTAATATTAGAAAAATATCATACGTCCAAAACGATATTTTTATACAATTTGAATAAAGTGTTGGTTTTTCTTTCTAACTATTTTATCACATTAATTGTAGATAATATATTTTTATACAAAGTAGATATTTAAGTATTCAAATAACAATCCATGAATGGTGTAAATTTCAAAGTAAAGAAATACTATAAAATAAGGGAGGGATATGTGTCGGTGACAATAGTCCAATAAGACATATAATCAATAGCCAGCAGTGATATCTAGCGATGACATGGAAGAGGGCACGCCTTTGTTGCCTTTGCGTGGCGCCAAAAGCACTGTGACTTTAGTACTTTTTCCAACTTATTTTTAATGAAAAAAAATTAACATATAATATGAAATGAGAAAGACATAAAGGCACGGTGTTCACAAAGATACCAAAACCGTGCCCCATGAAAGAATGCTATTATCACATTTTAGCTTGAGGCATTCAACATTGTTTAAATATTTTTTTAAAAAGTTTTGTGGTTCACCCGATTCAAAAGATAAGTTTATGTAAACTATGAATAGAACATATTCAATTTATAAAAAATAAAGGAAAAAAATGTCATGTTATGACTAAACCTTTAATCTTAAATGTTTGCAATATTAAAATTCATTGCCAAAATAAATTTGTTCTGTTAGTTTCAAATATATGTTTTGCTATGTTTGAATACTCATTAAAAAAAAGTTAAAGTATAAGCTTTGAAGAAGAAAACTATCTATTTATAGAATTTTTCAATCTTGATGATACATCTAATCTCATAAAATATTTATAAAATTTGTTTGATAAAAAATAACTGATAAACTAGTTTTTTAATTAATCAATGATTAGTAGTAAATAAACTAACTAATTTATTTATATTGTCTGTTATAATTAACAGTTGAATTAGCTTATATTTGTACAATGACGTAAACAAATATTTAGTTATTGTTTTTTTCCAACTAAGAAAAAATGAAGAGTTGAAAGAGAAAATGAAAAAGTTATAAACTACTTAAATAAAAAACTATAAATTAGTAAAAGTAAATTATAAAACTCAGTTAGAAAATAATGTTATCAAATAGATGTTTTCCAAAGATATGGATTTATAAACATAACACATGCTATAAGCTTATAATATGACTTTGTGAAACAAATAAAAACAAATAAATTATTAAATTAAATAAAGAATTTATAAAAATATAACAATTTATAAAACAAATAAACTATTAAAAAGAAAATAAAACATGTGGAAAAAAAAGAATGAATCATAATAAAAAAATAAGAAATAAAACAATTAAAAAAAGAAACAAAATAAAATACATGAAAATAAAAATTAAAAAAAGACTCAATAATAAAAATAATGGAGTTGTTATTAAAAAAGAAAAGAAAAACAGAAAACAATAAAATGGCAATGGCATGCATAAAAATTAATGGAAAAAAAAGAAAATGGAGTTGATATAAAAATTGATAAAGATAAAATATTAGACATTAACCTTACACTTTTAATATTTTAACAAAAATAATTTAACCTTAAAAATAAAAAATAAAAACGGAAGTTAATTTCGTTTTATAATAAATTTGTTTTCCAAATCCTCTTCCTCTTAAAACACATTTTTGATTCATTTAAATTAAAGAGATTTGAAAGGGAGAAGGAAGATGTAAAAAACAAATTTATTATATTAACAAAATTAACTTCCGTTTTAATTTTTTATTTTTAAGGTTAAATTAACTTCCGTTCTTATATAGATAATATGCAAATCAAATCACTTAAATAAGGTAATATAAGTAGATTTATTCAAAAGGAAACAAAAGATTGTATGGGTTCTGGTTATATACAGTTGTAATTTCAAGAATTCTGTAAGAATGAGAGCATTAATATTCTCAAATTTTAATGTTTTTCCTTAGAATTTTTAATTTGAAAAAAGTAAGACTGAAAGTATATTTGTAGAAACTTTGATCCAGTAGATCAACAAATAAAACTGTTATGCAATGCCTGTGTTCTCACTTCTCAGCGCGGAAGCTGGTTTACACCACCTGTGGGGTTCGAACAACATGAAGATTATCCTTAGCCAACCTAATAAAAGCATATAGAGTAAGGGAAGACCGCTAATATCTCAAGTTCATTCTTGAATTTCATGGCCATTCACTTTCTTTCTCAAAAACTTGTGATTGTTCAACATAAATGCTAAGAGTTCAACGATCAAAAAAGAAATAAAGAAGAATAAAAAATGCTAGCAAGATATTGGATGAATGAATTACTACAAACAACATTGACAAAAAAAATCAACTGTAACTAAATTCAACATGAACCTTCACAATCTACAGCTTCAATATTGAAGTCAAGGCTCTGAGCTCTCTATATACAGGTGCCAATTAAAACAAATCCATTCCCTGAAATTATATAAATAGTGACATTATTTCAGATGTATGTTAAGCACCATTATCTAAATTGCAGAGTTTCTAGGAGGATTTGAGTTATCATGGACGCTTTTGATCTGACAATATTACAGGATGAGACATATAGGACCACTAGAGCCCTCACAAAAAAAACATGACTGGTCCCTAAAGGAATCCACATCATGAACCTTGCTTCTTACACGACTGGCACAAGTTTTTTATTGCAACCATAATATTTAATTTTATACTTAAATGCTACCTGTTTTTACCAAAACAAGAAAATTTACCGAGTTGTAGAAAGAGAAAAAAAGAGTTTAGAGAAATTACCAGAGCAAAAAAATTGTGTTCATCTGTCATGGTGATTGGTGAAATATATTAGTGTTCAATCATTTTTTCAAAAATGGTTTCTGGCATACAAGTAACCGCTGGTCACTGCCATTCTGAAGATCGATTATCCTTGCTTCCCAGCGTACTTGAGTTGCAAGTGTGCGTACCATTTCAATTGTTCCCACGGAGTCAGAAAGAATGATCCATCCCTGCAAAAATAATGACGTGTAATAAAAAATTAGGCTTCATAGACCTTTTACATTACATGGAAATCGACAACTACTTGTATTAAAAAACAGAGAAATTCAACATTATATTGCATATGGGAATCATAACAACAAATGAGCCTGCTTCATTAGAGTCAAACTGGCTTGTAAACTATCATCTGCCAAGATGAGATCATCCTTTGTGGAGGTTGTGCCAAAAAAAAAAGGTCAGAAAGGAAGAGGACCTAAAGTACCAGATTAATGTTCTGCTAAATCTTAAAAAAATCAATGATGAAACTTTAAAGCACAATTATGAAAAGGAATACAAACATCATGATCATACCTCTGGTCGTAGTATCCTATCCATCTCCAAGAATAAGTCTATCATGCTGCACCGTTCTGACATGAACTGTGACAGAAGTCCATCTGCATGAAGCATATCATATGTCCGTGGGTAGGTTGGGAAAGGTTCGCACCTGAAGATCAATAAATCAATAGTTAGAAACAAAATAATTAGCTCGAAGCTCATACGAATAAACATTATTTTACAAAGAGCTTTCTCAATGACTTCCAAAGAAAAGAGAATTTAGAGATGGAACTACAAAACTGCGGAATATTTTCTTCAGAAATGGGTTTTGCACTAAACTAGGTGGAGTTTCAATCCAAGAAATCAGGTGAATGTTACATTTAGCTTCAAATTCATTCTCAAAAGGAAAACAAACTTAAGAAAGCTAAGGGTGATTTGAATAAAAGAAACATAATATGTGGTACTGAAATTTCGGCACCGTTTATGTAGTATGTTTATTAAAGGAAATTATTGACATATTTATGAAACTAATGAGTCATGCATTAAATGTCATATAATTTACAAAATAAGAAGTTGGTAGAGGTATTTTGCACACATTTTATAAAACACTGCTAAACCATTTTCAGCAATAAAATAATCATGAATATCAATATCTTTTGAGGTAAATTATCTAAAATTAGTGTTACATTTCCAACTAGTATACACTACTGTTCTGTTGTTTGTCATAAGCATTGCCAGTGATGATGTAAGAGAAATACATTTATCAGGCTTTAGTGTTATTATCAGTTTATCACCCTCGGCCAAAATAATCTTTTATCCAGTCAACTTTTAAATCATAAACTTTGTCTAGATCATACACAACAACTTGTCTAGATCATGAACAAGCAGCAACTTACCAGTCATGCATAACACCAGTAAAACCTCTATCTAGAATGAGAGGAAGTGCATTAGAAGCCCTGGCAGAAACAACATTCATGACCCACACTGACTTTTTCGCCTCCAGCAGTGCAGCATTCAAACCCCCATAATTAGAACTCATGTCCATAACATTCCGAATCATATTATATGGAGGCAGTGGATCTTCATCTCCAGGTCTCTTTGGATGGTCAGAGAAAATTAGTGGTGTAAGCAGGGACCAATAATTACTAACAGCTGATCTCCAGAAATGCATGTCTTCATAAAAGTCTTCAGGCTGAACTCCTGCAATAATTAAGGGAAATTCATGAAAAGGAAAAGCAGAACAAAATGGGGAAAAAATATCAGAGAAGGAAGAGGATGTAAATTGTAAGCAGAAAGCTTCTAACAAATAATACTTTCCATGAATTTCAAGCGCAGCTGAACTCAATTCAGAATCAAAGGATCTGTTCTGTATTGCAATCCAGCGCTTGCTAGATGTCCCACTTATACATGATACAAGAGGCTTATAGTATGGTTGAGTATCATCCCCTTCTTTACATAGTTGAATAGCCTGCTGCTTGCTGCAATAAAGAAACAAATATCACAGAAAAGCTAGAGGTTATATTATCGTAGTCAGTGATCAACGGAAAAAGACAATATCATAACTAGCAGTAGTTGATACTACTAGTCATCTCAAATAAACAGTCTACTGATAATCAACATTTACCATTAATATCACCTACACTAATACAAATATCCTTACCGTGATTCATAACAATTCAGGTCAGCAGTCTTCTGCCAGATGAAAGTCTCGTCTTGCTGGGCTAGGAGCGTCCAACATAGTTGTTGGGTCAGCTCTTCCAATGGGTTCAACGTGATTCTCTTTTTCTCCCGCGATGAACCTGGTAGCTTGCTTGCAGGTGATGTTAAAACGAAATATCCTCCAGGTTTAAGAACACGGTCAACTTCTATGAGGAACATTCCATCTATAGGATAAAGTCAATATTAGAGACCAAAGTATGGCATTTAATACAGAAGCTAAACAATATTCAGTAACTTATAGAAAAGACATGAAAGGGTGAAAAAAGGAAATGGCATTGATATAGAGTGAATGGAAGAAAATGGGGCGGCGGCATTAATTCATTGTTATAGAAACATTCCATACATATGTTTAAATCATTGATTTGATTGGTGAAAAAAATTAATTAAAAAAGAAAACATGTGATCTAATAAATCCGAACATATTTATACTATAAGCAAGATATTAATAAATACATACACCCTACACCATTTTCTATCTTATTTGTCATCAAATACGAGTTTTGGCAAATACTACAACTTGAATTTAAAATATAAATTTTACAAAGTATATGACATGTGAATCTGTTCGTATGTAAGAGACTATACTGATAAAGCTTTATGAAGTCTATAAGAAAATCCATTCAGCTAAGAATGAAAGAGTAATGCTCATAACTATACAATTACCCTTTTCATCCCAAATGATGCCACATTGAGCACAGTGAATCATGTCAAATGATAATGATGGATACGGAAGCTGTCTTGCAATGAAGTTGCCAATCATGGCAGGAAGGCCTCTCTCAAGAGACAATTGAACTTGGCTGCCAGTTGCCTCATATCCCGCAACACAAACCGCCATTATGTTAAGTGACAACAAATGAGCTCCAAAGCTACCAAATCCACAATTGATGTCCAGCGTTGTTCGAACCTGTTATATTATGAGCCAAATAGATCAGTCACAAATATTATGCAACATAAAGACCACAGTCCTTGATGAGAATCAAGAAGAGGATATAGGTGGCTTAATAGCATAATCTTCCTTACTGTACTCTATTATGCACAAACCCTGTCCTCGTAAAACACTAAGAATCCCCAAAAAACGACAATTAGTCGAATATGGTGAATGGAAAACTTACACCAGCTTGACGAAGCTCTGTATCACTTCCTAGCCCAATCATCTCTGCAATTTGGCGAGAGTAATCTTTCACGCCATCAAAGATCATACCATCCTCTGAGTGAAAAGCAATTTGATTCTCTTCTAGTAGCATCAACCTAGATAAATCATAGCAACAATTTCAGGAATCACAGCCCAGAAAGATCAGATAAAAACTACATTACTTTCATTAAAGCAGTCTATCATCCAAAATCAAAAACTATTCAATCAATCAATAGTTACAACTTACAAGGCTTACAAATTGTGGTGACAATTTTTCACAAATTAACCAATTATAATGCAACTAAGACTGACAAGATCTATTTATATTCAAACCAAGTATGTACCTTTTGGTCATACTTCCAGATGAAAGAAATTGATCTTTGGTTATCTTCACATTCCCACTCCATATAATATCCCTACCACTGGGCCAGCGCAACGGAATTTTATATTCCTTGGGAGGACGAACCAAACATTGATCTTCTTCCTTCAACACATGACAGTGCCGATCCAGCTCCTCCCCCTGCTCAAATCCCGACACCAAATTATCCGAAACATTATGGCATGGCACGAAATTCTCCCTTTCTTTTCCACAAAGCCCTAACTCCTTTTGCCTCAAACCACCGCTCGAAACAGATTTCAGCTCCAAATAATCAACCGCCACCCGCTCTTTTATCCTCCTATAGTTCGTATAGATAAGAGAAGCCGGTCTCCGCGGGGACGAATCAACAGCATTGGAAGCCGACGACGAGCCCAACACTATAATCAAAGCCAGAACACTAATCACGCACAATATCAACCAGTTCACCGGCGGTTTAGGGCCGAAAATCATCCACAACTTATTCGACAAAGAGCTTCTCATATCAAAAAATCGTGAAACTCCCACTCAATTCAACGCACAGAAAATCAAGATTTCCAAAAATCAAACTAAATCGTAATCATAAACACCATAACCTATCGTAATACCATGAATCTTATCCACATCTACAAGCATTGAAACAACAGACTGATCTGAAAGTAAAATCGTCTTCTGAATCACACAATTCCGGAACAAGATCGGGTAATGGCTAATGCCGATCGAATCAGATCGCCGACGGCGGAATTGAATTGGAATCCGATCGAGCGTGAATTGTGAGAGGAAAATGGAGAATTAGGGTTTTTGGTGAGTGAGATTGTTGATTTGGGAAGCTATTGTTGTGAATGGTGAAGAAGAGCGCTAATTCCGGTTGGGTCCAAACTGTTTGGATTGTTGTTGCTAACTTTACTTCCTTTGCCAGCTTTGTGTTTTTATCTATCTCTTTCATTGTATATATACTACACTACATCCGTATCATTATTATTAAACACATCCAAAAACACGCAACATTATTTTTTTATTTGTAATCTTTCTCTTGCCTTTAAATATTTTTTGTCTACCATTTATGTCTAATTCTTTATTTTACACACATTTATGAGTAATCTATTCCTTGCGTATCAAAATAAAAATAATTAAAGTAATACGGAGTACTTTTATCATAAGTTAACTGAGGGCAGTTTTTATATTTTTTTTTACTACTTTTGGGATTAAACTTGGGATTCGTTTATAAGATTCTATTCATTAATGTTCCCTTAGTACTTAATTATTATAAACACTTTTTCTTCACTTATATTTAAAAAATGAGAAGTAAATTTAAGAGAAATTAATATACCACTCCCATATATATATATATATATATATATATATATATATATATATATATATATATATATATATATATATATATATATATATATATATATATATATATATATCCTCCAAATTTTATTGTTTCTAAAATATTTATTTTATTATTTATTCTAAATTTTTTATATTTATCAAAAAAAAATATTATTGATCAAAGGAAATTTCGATGTATCAAAAATTTCAGTTACATTTGAAAATTCCGATTGTCCATTATCTCGCATTACTGAATATTGGAGGGAGAATTGTTCTAATGATGTAAAAGCATGAGAATCAGTATATGTGGGTTACTTCACACATTAAGAAGAATTATATAGGTCATGATTGTAGTTTTTTTAATGTAAATATATATGATGTTTATTCTATTTTATATATTAAGCGGTTCGCTATTTCATAATGTATTTTATTCAAGTAATGATTTTAAAAAAAACTAAAAGAAAATTAAGTCTTAGTAATATTGGAAATTTGAAATTTTCAGTATTTTTTACATACTAAAAATTTTAAATTTTTTATTTTTTTATAACGATGATATGATAAATTTTTAAATTTTAAATTTTCAAAAATATCAAATATCAAAATTTTTAAATTTTTGATTACGCTCATATGCCGTGATAAAATTTAAAAATTTAACGAAATTTTTAATATTTATATAAAATTTCTAATATTGCATCAAAAAATTCAAAAATTCAAACATATTTAAGAAACAAATGTCATATTTAGAAAAGTCGTATGTATAATATGACAAATTACTTTCTCTAAATTTAATGGGTTTATTTTGCCGGCACCTTTAGTGTATTAATGCAGTAGTACTACTAATAAATAGTATCTGTGTAAAAGATAATAATTAAAGATAGATAGCACATTTATTTTTTAATAAGATTGATTTGTTGGCGTAATTTTTATTTTGAGAATTATTTTAATAATACATCTTTTACGAGATATATTATATATTAATTATTATTTAAAATTTTATATAATAGATGAGCGAATTTTTTTATTTATAAATGTTTAAATCTTTATATTTTTAATAAATTAGATACTTTTTAATACTATTTACTTTTGTAATTTTTTTTACATGGATGAACTTAGTGAGATCTAGAAAGATAAAGAAATCATACTAGAAGATATTTGAGGAGTTAGTGATCATATTGACGTTAATTTTAAGGTAGGAAGAAAATAACATTGGGAGAGATTAGTTAGTAGAAAATAGGGAGAAATTATAGGGGGTGCTTAGGAGGGGGATAGGTAGGGTGGCGTTGTGGTAATTTAGAGATGATTTTTTCTTTTAAGTCCTTAGTTGAAGCGTCAGGAGACATTCTAATATTATGTAAGTTTAATTTGATGAAGGTGATGTCAACATCTAGTTTTAATCGGGTGTTAATTGTTTACGAGTATTTTGGTTTAGCAGTTGTTTTATGTGGCTAACATTTATGCTTCGTGCGAGTTTCGAGACAGACAATTGTTATGGGAGAAACTTAACATTTATATTAGTAATCATAAAAATCATTTAGAGTGCATATGTGGTGATTTCAATTCAATCAGGATGGAATCTGAGAAAAACCATAAAGGTGAATTGGTGATAAATTAGGACATCGAAAATTTCAATAATTTTTTCACGATATTGTGTTGATTGAATTTTCTATTAACAAGAGACGTTTCACTTGGTTATATGGTGATAAGATGTCAATTAGTCAAATAGACATGTATCTTCTGAATGGAGTGTGATGTTTGTTGTGTCTAAATAACATACAATATATCTTGATGTGGGGTTTGTCTCGCCATTGTCATATATTGTTTATATGGGTGCAGTGAATTGGGTTCTTAAATTTTTCTCCAAGTTGAACTATTGATCAGAATTTTTAGGGTTATAAAGAGCTTGTTATTGATAAATAGCTAATAGACTTGGAAGATGTGTGTATATTTTGAAGGAATAATTTAAATCGCTAAAACAAGAACATGAAAGTAATGCTTAAGGGATACTAAAAGAGGCTAAAGAGAGAATATTAATCATAGAAAATAAGGGAGACGTGGATGTGGATCTATGCAAATATGAAGATGATGATCCTAGCGTTGGTGACCTTTTTGGTGTTTTGATGACGATAATGCTTATGATTGTTGAAGTTGATGGTAACATCTTTCGAACTCTTTGATGATGGAGATTAACTTGAATATCTCAAGTCTCATCAAGTAAAAGATTCAAGGTTTTAGTGAAATGCTTATATGATCAGCGTTTCTAGCAAAGGAACTTAAAAGCTTCAGAATTGTGAAAGAGAACAATGATGAAAGCTCACTTGGTCGTGTCTGTCTGAGTGACCAGAGTCTTATGATAGTAGGAGTGTAACACCTAAAATACTAAAACAACTCTCGCACACACACTTAAAATACTTTTAAGGCTTCTCTTTACTCGATAAAATCATCTAAAAATATTTTTAAGACCTAACCAATTGATTAGAAAATTGTCTGCTTGATTAGGAAATTTTTTCAAATTGTCTAATCGATTAGATCATTTATCTAATAGATTAGATGGTGCCTAATAGAGTATAATTGATTATGACGTACTTTAATCATCGCTAACGACTCTATATCAAAATCTTTCATTTTGGGCCACAATAATAGATTATTTAAGGTACATAATTGATTAAGCTAATCAATTAGACCATTATTTCAGCCCGTGTTTTTTTTTCTATTTTGAGCCAATTTTTCTCCTATATAAAGGAGGTATCTCATCACTTCATTTCACACCAAAATTTGGAAATTTCCTTATTCTTTAATGTTGTACCCCAAAATTTTCCCTCTCATTTATCAAAGATTTTCTCACAAGATCTCCTTTGGTTCAAGACTGTACAAGGTTTGGTCAGCTCAAGACACCTCCTTAAGCATTGATGACTGAAATTAGGGTTTGAGATTGCACAAGGATAATTGAAATTTTAATGCCTAATATGACTTTCATGGATCATTATGGACCCCCAAGATTGCTCGTGTCAAGTTTAAAGTCTTGGATCACATTTTTGCTCAGTCAATTGAGCAGTTGACTTAAAAATCAACTGTATTGGGGAAAAAGTTAATTGTGGCCAATTTATAGTCAAACTTCATAATTTTTTATCCATATCAATATTATAAACTCATATGCATCATTTTATCAAGTTTGGACCACAATTCCTCAGGAAATTTGATCAGATCATCAAAAGGGCAAAATGGTCAAAATTAGGGTTTTGATTGAGAAAGGACAATTTCTGATTTTTGACCTAGCAAATGGTTAATTGGTTTGAGGCATGATCTCAAGAGTTAAATTGCATCATTTTTACCTAATTCCATGACTCAAAACATCCCTCAAGATCAATTGATTGATAGTTGATTTTCAATTAACTGATCAAAAGTCAATTGTACACTGAAAAGTCAAACTTTGACTTTTTGGTCAAAATCAAGTGTCAAAAATCATAATTCATCAAAACATGTCAAAATATGAAACTTGTTCATCAAGAAATCAAAAAGTCAAGACTTCATTTTGAAAAGTCAAAGTTTTCAAACTTAGATTCTAAGTGTTGAAAACTTCATATTTTTTCACAACTTTGAGCCAATTTTTCACCATGATGCAAGATGATTCAAAAGAAACTTTCAACATGAAAGTTGTAAATCTCCATGAGATCTAAAACTTTTCTTTACACAACTTCTCCTAGAAATTCTTGGATCTCAAGTTATTGATCCATGAAGTCATGGTCATGAAACTAAACACTTACTGAAAATTTTGCCCTAGTTTAGACATGATTTTGACCTAACTTCATGGCAATTTTTCACATAGTTCCAAGGGGAATTTTCAAAAGTGATTCAAAGAGGGGTTGTAGATCACATTACAAGCTTTTCAAAATATCCAAGAACTCCTTAAGATCATTTGTAAGCAAGGAGAACCGAAGAGAGGAAGTTAGGGTTTCAAATTGAAATTATAGGTCATTTTGTGATGAACAAGAATTCAAATCTCAAGCCTATGTTGCACAATCTTGCTTTGCAGGCCTCTAAACCTCAAGATCTCTCCATAATAAGAAGATTACACTTGCTTTTGAGCTATTATCCATTTAATTCAAGCTTTATCCAAGATAATTTTCCATTTATGGAACAAAGTTACCATTGCTATTTTGATAAAGCAT